CCTTAGCCTTGTTCATGCATTCAACAAAAGTCCCCCTTTTTGCTCATGTACTGCACCCACTTATCTTTCATCTCCAGTGGAATGAATTATTTTTCAAAACAACATAGTCACTGTAATAAAATGGCTGAGGGCTTAGGTTAGCACAGACCATTTTTGTGAAGAATAACCTACTTTGTTCCTATTTATTATATAATGAACATTCATTTCTAAAACTTTCAAGTTTACATTTTGGATATCTAAGCAAAAATTTCAAAAACGGGTTCCTTTCTCGATTTTGTTCTTATTTTTTTTAATTACCCTTATCCCTTTCTAATTGAAAATGAACAGACCTCAGTGGTAGAAGTCACTTTTATCCTGATCCCTTTCAGAATAGGGTTTGGTTCTTAAAAGACCACAGACTTTAAACTCACACACGCAATGGCTCCTTAGTATCTATACGATCTTAGGTTGGAATCTTAAACTTAAAAGACTCGATTTCCTCATGGGAGTAAGAATGACAACCTTGACTAACACTGTTGCCGGGACAAGCAAATAGAATGCACATGTGAGAAAGTCCTCTTTAAATGGTAAAGCCCTTACTTATGACACTTTTTGCTATGACTTGTTCTCATTCAGCCTTTTGTTCATGGAACAAGAACTATTTCTAGAGTGCCTACTACGTGTCAGGTGTTATGCTAACTGCAGTGAATGACAACATCTATTAATACTTGTACAAAGTTAGAAAAATAGAAAGTGACTGGTGTCTTTAAATTATAACACATTTTATAGGGAGAGACAACAGTGAGCTGGAAAATTAGCAAAGCATACAAAAATGGGTATTTACTTTAAAGTAATGGAGAGTACGAATTTGTGCTATGATACGAAAGGAGAAGAAAGTTTTGGCAGAGCAAACAGCATGAGATGTTTAAGGAAACCAGACTTGTTCTATTATGGTGACACCCTATGGAGACAAATTATACAGGGCATTGAAAATCAAGCTAAAGAATATAGACATTATTTTAGACGGAAATAGAGAGTCTTTGATGATTAGGGGTATAATAATGATAAGATATCTTATAATAATAATAAGATAAGATAAGTAGGACTTCTAAAATGGTTCTGTGAGGAG